CGTCTTGATGCTTGTATGATCGATATCACCCCTGAGGAATAGGATTGTCTGGCTAAACTTTGCCGCTCAAATGCCAAGCGGCTAGTTCTAACCACTGAGGATCTGGATGTAAAAGTTTGCCCTGACTGAGTATTACTCAGTCCGGGGGAATCTTCCAAGGGGGTGATATTGAGAGATCCACAAGGTCGGCAAACCATGGGCGCCGTGGCCAATGTGGAGCAATCAAGATTACTTCTGCACCTTCCAGGATCAACTTGCGTATGGTTGCCGGTATTAATGGCAGCGGTGGAAAGGCGTACAGGAGTTGCGCCGGCCACCGACACCTGAGAGCATCTGTTCCTTCCGATCCCGGAGACGGGAATCTGGAGAAGAACCTGGGTAGTTGTGTGTTCTTCGGAGTGGCAAATAGGTCCAGGTGTGAATGTCCGAACCTCCGGGAGATCTCCTCGAACAGAGCCGGATCCAGACGCTATTCCGACTGATCCACCTTGGCTCTGTTCAGGGAGTCTGCCTGGAGATTTGTCTCCCCTGAGATGTGTTCCGCTCTGATGGAACTCACATTTGCTTCTGCCCACCGAGCCAGAGCTGATGCCTCCTGCATTAGTTCCGCAGATCGTGTTCCTCCCTCGTTGACATGGGTCTTGGCTGCTACGTTGTCTGTTAGAACGAGAACGTGTCTTCTCATTACTAGGTGGGAGAATTGACGTAGAGCCAGGTGAATGGCCCGAAGTTCCAGCCAATTGATGTTGTGAGAGAGGTCCTCCTGATTCCACTGGCCCTGCGCTATCTGATTTCCCAGATGGGCTCCCCATCTGAATAGGCTCGCGTCTGTCGTGAGCATGATCTGCTTCGGTTCCCTGAATATACTCCCCTTGAGTATCATGGGTGATATCCACCAATTCAGTGATTTCAGAACATATTTTGGTACCAAGACCCTCCTGCTGGAGGTACTGAGGCTCCTCCTCTGATAGGGGAGGAGGAACCACTGCAACTCCCTTGTATGGAGTCTTGCCCATGGGACAATGCCCATGCAAGATATCATCTTTCCCAGGAGTTTCGAGAGTTGTATCAAAGGTACTCTCTTGTCTTTCTGAATTTGATGAACCAGCTTTGAGATGCTGCTTCGACGCTCCTGGGAAAGATATACCCTGCACTGGGACAAGTCTATCACCGCTCCTAGGTGCTGTAGCTTCCTTGAGGGAATGAGATGGCACTTTTCTACATTGACTGAGAATCCGTGTTCCTGTAGAACGCGGATTGTGGTCTGGAGGTCTAATTTTGCTTGCTCCTGTGAGCTGGACTGAATCAATATGTCATCCAGATAAAACTGTACACGCACCGGCATCAGCCTGAGGTGGGCTGCTATTACTGCTAGAATTTTGGTAAATACCCTTGGGGCTGAGGATAGACCGAAGGGTAGTGCCCTGTATTGGTAATGCCGGTGCGCGTAGGTAAATCTGAGGAATTTGCGGTATTTGGGGTGGATGGGGATATGCAGGTACGCCTCCGTGAGATCTATTGAGGACAGGAGGTCGCCCTTCCTGACACTGGCTAGGATGGATTTCAGGGACTGCATTTTGAACCTCCTGTAAGTTACGTAATAATTCAGCCCCTTTAGGTCCAATATTGCTCTCCACCCTCCTGATGTCTTTGGGATCACAAAGAGGATGGAATAAAATCCTCTTCCTTCCTCTCCCTTTGGTACTTTCTCTATGGCCTGAATTGACAGGAGATGTGCTATGGCCGAGGTTACCAACCTTGCCTTGTGTGCCTTTCTGGAGATGGGACATCTGATGAATCGGTTGGGTGGGGGAGAACAAAAGTCTAAGGTCAGGCCATGTCTGACTGTCTCCAAGACCCAGGCGTCGGTGGTGGTCTGCTCCCAGACCTCGATGAAATTGGCTAACCGACCTCCTATGGGAGTGTCCTGCCTGGCGTCACTTGGCGCATTTAAAGGGTCGGCCTCCCGATCCTCTAAAGGGATGCCTGGACTGAAATTGGCCTCTGGCTCCCATGTTTGGGCGATCCTGGGAACGATCCTGTCTTGAATAGAAGGATCGTGAGCCTCTAGACCAGTCCCAGGATTGCCCTGATCGAAAGGGCTGTCTCCAGTCCCAGGAGTAGCCTGGGCGGAAACTCTGCCTCCGGAATTCCTGACTGCTTCTCCTGTCTACCTTCTTTGAAGGATGGACTAGAATTTTCCTTTTGTCCCTACTCTCGCTTACATGCGGATCCAGAATGGATCCAAACAAAAATGACCCACTGTACTTGGACGTTGAAAGACGCCACTTGGCCTTCAGATCTGTCTTCCAATTTTTGAGCCACAGTAATCTGCGAGAGGCTACTGTGGCTGCAATCGATCTTGCCGCATACTTGGTTGCGTGAAGTGAGGCGTCTGCCATGAATTGTGAGGCCGCCAGTATCTTGGCCAAAGTTTGGTGAGCTCTGACCTGATCTGGAGGTACAGTGGTTTGTAGCTCGCGCAGCCACATGATACACGCCCTGGCGAAGAATGTTGCCGCCTTGGCCGCCCAGGCTGCGGCCATGTGGGAACAACGGAGGGAGTGCTCAAATTTCTTTTCCTCTGGTTTCAAGGCCTCCGCCATGTCCCCTGGAATCGCAGAAGTAGAGAATAATGAGATTAAGGGACTATCTATTGCGGGAACATCTAACATGCCTGAAAAGGAAGGAGAAACATTGAATAGTTTCTTTTCCACGCTGTTAGGTGCTGGTGGTGTTGCTAGTGAAACCCATTACTCCTCTACCGTGGTGCGGAAAACCTCAGGACAAGGAATGTACTTGTCCTATGGAACTTTCTTGACAAAGAGAGGGTTTGCCTCCTTGCTAGTAGAAGGATTTTCCTCCTGAACTGAGGTCAAATTGACCGTAGAGACTGCCTTTATCAAAAGTGATTTTAGAAGAGCTGGATCAAAGAGGCCAGAACTTGTTGCCTGCTCAGGAGTGGTCCCCTCATCCTCTGAGAGTGGCATATCAGACATGTCTAGGTCTAGTAATTCTCCCTCTCCTATTTGAGAGGAAGTTTCAGAAATGTTTGTAGCCGGAGCCTTGTTTCGTCCCTTATGGGATGGTTGAAAGGCTACTTGGCCCGTAGAAGCCATAAATTGGGAAAAGGCATCCTGCATGAATGCCTGAAATTGTGCAGACCATATGTCCTCCTGGGTTCTGTCCGTGGACGCAGCCACGAAGGGAGTATGTTCTGGTGAAGAGGCAGGTGAAGAGGAGTGGGAGGAATCCAACTGTTCGGTTTCCCCCAGAGGAGACCAAGTTCTGAGAACTTCCTGGGGAGTAGATTCTGTAGTAGGGACCCCCAATGGGACAGGGGAAACCATGCTTGTCCCATTGGAACTGGTTTTCTGGGCCCTGGCAATCTGTCTTTCTAGAGCCAAATGTCTCCTCGAGGCCTCTCGCTCAGCTGTTTTAGAGGGTCCCCTTTGGGTCAGGTGCTTTGTTTTGGCCTTCTTCTTCCCCATTTCAGATTCTGTGGATCTGCGTTTTTTGTTGCTGTTGTGGGGGGGGGTGGCTGGGGACCCTGTGTAGCTGAATACGAGACGCTGTCTGCCATTGTGTCCAGGTACCCCGAGTAGGCAATACCTGGAGTGGGGGAAAACACTGACACGCAGATCAAATTGCAGAGTATGGAGGCTGCAAGCCTGACTCTGAAGGCAAACAATGGCCGGACAGACAGGTACCTTTTTGAAGAAAAACAGGGCCTGCAAGGCCAGTGACAAAAGGCCACCTTAAAGAACAGCAGGGAGAAATTGGCAATTCCTTCGCACTCCTTCACCAAGGTTAATTATTAGTAGTATCCCAGGTTAACAGTTATTGTACTGTCCCCCGTTGTATGGGTGTTAAAAAACAGACTCGAGGGAGTGAAACTTCGCTCTCCCTCTCTCTCTCCTTTAAACATATAACTTTCTGTGTCTAGATAAGTATCAGCCTGCTCTCAAGAGACTCCAGGTGGTTAAAGCACTAAATGGATTGCAGTAGTAAGCACGCTTAAAATGGCGATGAAGGAGAAGGCCACGCCCCCTAACTGCCAACTGCCTAAGCCACGAGGCTAAAATGGTGATTTGAGGCTCTTGGCAACTCGCTGAGGCAAATTGGTTGGTCTCAAGAGTGAGAGGGGGTCAAGAAATTAATTTTCTTTTCAAATCAACAACGCAGGAATTGCGGAGGAGAGTAATCCACGGATCTGCCTAGCGCTCCGGAGATCGCGAGGACCTTCACGCTACAGCTGAGGATGAAGGACTCCTTTCGGACGAGGAGAGCTGAAAGGCTTCCTCTCCGGTAGAAAGACAGTGATCCGCAGACCTGCCGGTCGCTCCGGAGGGCCGTGGAATCCGCGCGTCTCAGCTGTTTGAATTTTTTTTTTTTAAACAAGAAGAGCAAGGCTAACGTTAAAGTGGGGGCCTTTTTTAGTGCGATCTGCACAGATACGCTCACCACACGGCTCAAACGGACAGGCTCGGTGCTCCAATCTAGTAACTGGAATCCTCCTGCTGAGCTCCTTGAGAATTCCTCTGAATGACCAATTAAGGTATAAAATGGATTTTCTGACTATGTCTGGAGCTAAATTTTCTACTGTTATCGGGCTACGAGACTAAGTCAAAACTGGAGTCACGCCCAGAGGAAGGGTGTGGCCAAAGTTTTGACCTAGTCTGTCGGGCGGGAAGACTGTCATAGAACCCATCCATTGGACTGTACAGCCATCCTGCTGGAGAACGCAATGTTAAGATCTGAAAAATGCATCCTAATCTGAGACCATCTTAACATAAAACAGCTCTCAAGACCCACAGCCTCAGGCCTAACTAGTTGGGTTTCAACCTTTTAGCTCTTCTTCTCTTCCTCTAGAATCTTAAGTTGTATTTCCAGCAAAATAAATGAGTTGGTGGAATCAAATGCCATTATGGAAGGATGTGTTTTCTATGCACATTCTGATGAGTACATATTCTCTGAGGGCACAAGAACATGAGACATAGTAATGAGATAGTGAAATTTATTCAAGAGTTTTTACACAGCATCCTTGGACACAATTTAAAAATTGCTGTCTCAATTAACAGAATTATGGATATCTTTGTAGTAAATGTGTGGCTTTATATTAGAAGTAATATTTATCCTGTTGATTTACATAAATGGCTATGATAGTTCCTGGAGCACTGAAATGAAGCATGTACATAGGTGGCTGTGTGGGCATGCAGAAATGCATGCATTCAAGTGTTTCAAAGGGCAGATGCTTGTCCATTAGAGTATTGTGACTAGCCCTTCTCAAGTATCATGAAAAAGAAAAGGTATAGGGAAGAATATATGAGCTTCCCTTCGGCCTGACTTTTTGGGATGGAGAAAATGCGAGTAAAAAAAATATTTGGCAATTGCAGTTACAGTTGTGTATCTGGGAACCTGAATTTGTGAACCATCCCCAATCCCATAGAAATTTAACAGAATTATACAATAGGTTGGAAGGGGCAGGATTAGAGGACACATATCTCCATCTCTCCACTATATATTTCTGCTCCTAATTTCTATTCCATAAGGACATTTTTTTAAAAAAAAGGTATCTCCAAACAGCCATACAGATGGCAACCGCAAGATAAACAGAAGTGAAATTGATCAGCCAGGTAAAAATCAAACCAACGGTATTGCTGAGTCAAATCCATCTTCTTCTCCCTGGGCTGGCTAGTTGCATGCTAGAGGACATTTGTATATCTTTAAAGCTGCCCGCTTGGACATGCTTTCAGGTCTTCCACTGAATGGTACACATATAAAGAAAACAAAATCAGCTCCTCTTCTCTTGGAGTTCCTGCCACCCACTCCCTTGTTCTGCTTACCAGATGGCAAATCTGGAAAAGCTAATGAATTACAACAGGCTGGAAAAATTGCTCTGGCAACAGAGATTTAGAAGGAAAATGAAATATTTGTCATGTTGCAGTTTGCTTGCCTTTAGATCTTCATGGGGTATGTTTCAGCAGTAACATCCACCACAGCTTGTTTTCATCACATTGAAAAAAAGTCAAACTGCACTGCAAAGCCTACCCTTTGGTACATATTATGATGTCACAGGATGTGTACAAAAGTGATGGGGTTTGCATTACAGGATTGCCCCTCCCCAATCTGCAACACCTCTCTTGACCTTCTCAGACACTGCTGTGTTTCAGTAAAATCTGGTGCAGTTCACACCAAGCGAATGTGATTTGCTTAGTGATGTACTTTCAGGAATAATAAAATCTTGTTCAAGAAGGACAACACTCTCCTTCTCAGTCTAAAGGCGTAAGACTTATTATTGGATTTGCTCCCAAGGAAGAATTGTTATTTGAACACAAGCCAAGTTCTCCATCTAGAAGCATATCTACTGAAGGAGAAACACTCCAGCTGGTTTCTTTCTACCCAAAGAGATGTATTTTCTTACACAACTTATGCTGCCCTTTGCAGCTAAAAATGGAACTCTCAAAAAACACAATGTGCAATGCAAAGACCAAAGATTGGAGGGACTGCATCTCTTTATGCTTCTTCTTTTTCACACTGCAAGGATATTCCTGCACGCCAAAATGTTAGAACTCATTTAATAGAGATGGCTGCCCACAAAGAGCAACAGGGATTACCATTTGCAGCAGGATGCAGGACATTCATTGTTAAAAACTCCTGGGGTCCTTTCCAGAACTTCGTCTATTCCCACACTGAGCAACCCTGAAACTTGCAAGGCTAGAAGAAAGTTCTGTCTGTTTTACTTTGTTCTCCCCAGCAGGGGAAGCTGTGACAGCATGAAAAGTCAATTTTGGGGACCATGAAAAATTAGTTCCCGAAAGTGCATTTCCCAACAATACCAGGAGGGTAAGAAAAGTAATCCAGTATTTTGCCAAATAGCAGAACATACAGCAATTAGAGGGTGCTGCTTAGAAACTGGAAAATACAATATTTCATCTTATTCTAACAACCCACCCCATTGTTTTTTAAATAACAGTACAAAAATAAAGTTTTAAAGTTAACTTTAAAAAGAGAGACATTGATCATCATTAGCATCATATCCTGAGACATCTGGTTTGTAACAGCTTTAAAAAGCAGCAAGGATGAACAAGGTCAGGAAACAAAAGAAGTGAGGACAAAACAAATGAACAGGATGCAAGAGAAAAGATAAAAGCATCCGGAGGGCAGGGGGAACCAGGTGAATACAGAGCACCAATGGTCTCAAAGACTACCTGACCTTCGGGCCATAGCAGAGAGCCAAGACATTCCTGCAGAAACAAAAGATTAAAAAGCCTTCTTCTGCTAGAACGTCCCATTGCAGATAATCACAGAAAGGACAGCTCTGTGAGTTGAGCCTTAGGGATGCCTTGATCCTTCCTTTACAACAAAAGTCAAAGCTCATCTACTGGTAAGTGTTAAACCCATATTCCTTGGAAGAGGCCAGCGTTGCTCATCGGCAAAGAGTTAATTCCATGAGACAAGTAGATACATTGAGAAGAGGGTAAATATAAGTACCCCTACACAAAAGACCAATAACAATATTCTTCCTATAGAATGAGCCAGACAGTATTAGAAAACCTTAAATGGTAAGGCCAATTACCATATTCTCTATTCTGATTATAGATGAAATCAATGGTTTTAAGAGTACTTAAATCAGTACTGAATTGCTGCTGGTAATCTAGTCCAAAACTTGGTTTCCTTGGGAATATCAAATTTAACTTTGTAGTCTTCAAAGTTATTAGGTGGGAGAATAGGAACAGTAAATTAGATTTACAGTGAAGGTCTTTTTCTTTTCTTTTTTACAATAAAGACAATGACATTCTAAAGAGAGTTTTTCCTTCCCATTCATTCCATAGGCAAAGCTATAAAATATCTGACTTTGCTTTCTCCACCCCAGTTTTGGACTGATATTCCAGATCACAAAGGAAGAAAAGAAAACCTTAGAAGTGCATAAACAGTGTATACATTAGACTATAGATCTTTGTAGCCAAATATTTTCTCTTTCTAATGTTATTAGGATGGGTTGAATGTTCTATCCCCATTGTAAAAAAACATTCACAGTAAGTTCATTATACAGTTTTCCTACCATGAAATATACCACTGCTGTCTCTGAAGATGGAATCCTAGTTCTTGTTATGAGCTATCTTCTGTAATTTTTATAATGCTTTTGGCCAAGAGACACAAGTGAGGTTTACACTGTTTCATAAAGAAAGACACAGAGTTCTACATGGAAACTCCACATATGTCTCACAAATGGGCACTACTATTAAGGGCAGCCAAAGAGGCCCTATTTCTAGGTGAGTGGGCTACAATTCCCTATAGGGCAGCCTTGTTCTAGGTCTCATGGGAATATCTGATGCCAGTTTTGATCCATCTGGTGATTATGAACAATGTGGCTTTATAGTTCTGAGAAATCTTCCAAAGAAAAATAAAGAGTTTAAATTTCTCTATTTTGCTCAGGTAGATCTTGACTAGTCATCCAATGTCTAGTATGTGCTAATCCTTTTTAATTAAATCTTGGAATTGGGGCAGAAGAAAAAGATTACAATTTATTTCTAGCAAAAAGTGGTCATAAAGCTAAGGGTCCAGGAACAGAGTGTTGATGAAGAACTCTTTTTTGCTAGGGTGTGTCCTTACCTCTGTTTGACCAAAGTTACCATATATACACACCCAATATTAGGCCCAATTTGAGTTTAGGGTTACCTTCCTATTTATGAGCCACCATTACTTCCTTGAGGCAACACTAACTGCCTTACCTCTGGCTAAGAATCCACCATGAAAGCAGCAGCAGCCTTAGCTAGTTGTTCATAATTTGTATGAGCATCTTCTTTTCCCAGTCTGATTTCTTGAGATAATTTGGATCCAGTTTTCTATTTGCATCACAGAGTAGAAGCCTTGGCCATGACTGAGGTAGTAAAGGTGTACTGAAAAGTGATTTAAGCTAGTTGATCCATAGACAAATTGCTATTTCAATTGAATGTATACATTTTGTAGAATGTATGACCAGCAAACGACCTCTTCTAATAATAACGGGTAATAAGCTTAATAAACTATATGATAAATATTTAGTTTAATAAAGTATATACAATCCATCCAAAACCTAGATGCAAGGAAATTCAATAGTATGACTGAGTACACTAAAGCAATGAATATCAAAAAATGATGAAAAGATTAAAAGTACCAAGAAATGCCACTTGTAAAGTACTAGAGAGCCAGTTTGGCCTAGCAGCTAAGGCACCCAGGCTAGAAACCGGGAAATTGTAAGTTCTAGTTCTACCTTGGACATAAAAGTGACTGGGTGATTTTGGCCAGTCACTCTCTCTCACAAGATTATTGTTCGGAAACTACGATGAGTAAGGAATATTAGTTATATTTGCTGCTTTGAGTTTTTTATAATAATAAGACAGGATAAAAAATAAAAAAGAATATCTTCCACAATTAAGAACTGCTCAAATATTTTCTACAATTTCCAAATTGTAACAAGATTTATAATAAGATTGATGAAAAGTAGCTGATCAAGGTCCAATACTTTTAGGCTATAAAACAGGAGATAAAGGAGAACTCTCTGTGAATGTGTGGAAAGAGTGCAGGTAAGAGCTAATTTATTATATTTGGTTTGATACTTTTGCCTCATACTTCTCCCACTGTCTTTTCCGCTCTTGGAAATCCAGTCAAGGACCTTCAAAACAACTTTTAGTAACTAATAATTTATTTAGATAACATTTCTGCTTACATTATTTGGGGTCATTGGGTTGATCAGTAATGTGTACCTCTATTTAGCTATGTAAGAATTGAGAAATATACTAAATGAACAACTATATTCAAGCTTTTATTCAATAAGCTTACATATTTGTTGTATTGTGTACTATTGGCTTATGGGATGATTGTACCCACAAATATCCTAAGAGAGGAAGAAGCAAATTCTGTCTTTTCCCTCACAAGACGCTGGTTCTTATAACTGGGAGCATATTTGCTTTGTGTTGAAGGAATCTGTTTTCCTGTCTTCACGAATTTGTGGATGCATCTTTCACATGTTTGTGAAATGAAAAGCAACTTCTGCCACAGGAACATTCACTGTAGAGGTATGAGACATTCTAGGGCAGTCTCAAGGGAAGTATGGGGTTTCAAGACCATGGAGAGCCAGCCCTCACAAACCTTTTCTACTTCAAGAACATCACTGAATGTCTTGAAATATGAGGGAGTGACAGGTTCTGGCTTCCTGAGGCCAAGAAGTTCACAAACTTTCCCGAAATACTCAGGAAAATCTGATTTTTTAGAAGCACCTGATGGATTTGGGGAATGACTGTGTTCTTCTTCATCCAGAGACAACTCACTCTTTTTCCCATCTACCGGTCTTGAGGGGAGATACCTGAGTACTTTGTACGGGGGGGGGGACTGGGCACCCCTTTTTCATTTGATTGTCTGGCTTTCCCCCTTATTAAGATCTAGAAGGGGAAGAGAAGAGGACCTATACCTTTTGCCTATTTCCATGTTTGGATCCAGTCAGGAAACCCCAAAATGCAGTGTCCTGCTCTTCTGTCCCCCAATTTGCCCCAATGCATGTGGTTACTGTATGGGGTCCAACCCAGGGAAGCAACAAGGGCTGCACAGGTTGTGGTCACTGACTCAGGAGACATCTTGGGAGGGGAAACAAAATGATGAACTGATGTGCCATTGGAGACCAGCCCTGGTTTGACCCCAGCCATTGGGGAGATACTTCCACAAACAATAAACTGCTATTGATGACCATGGCAGAAGGTCTGTTGCATTTATAGGAACAAAGAGAAAAGAGAAGGAAAGGGCCAAAGGAAAAACAAAAATCTGGAGCTGAAAAACAACCAAAGTAGAGGGAATACATAATAGAGCTGACAGGCAATGTACTCTCCGTAGCAGGTAGGACTCAAGTAGGAAAGGAGACATTCTTCCCAGCAGAAGCAATATCAAAGCCCTTCCCAAATCCAGGAAGAAGCTATCACATTACGGATCATTCTGGTTCCAGATAAAAGAAGGAAGATTGGCAAGAAAAAGGAGATCCCTTGATACAGTTAAGTAACAAAGATAGAAGATGCCGATTGCAAAATTTGCCCTCAGCAAAGACAGGGTGATTTTTTTGCAATATAAAACTTTGGTTTTTGTTTTAGATCACAATATAAGTAAGAATAGAAGGGTGATGGAAGGATGAGTAGCTGCCAAAAGCATAGCACATAATTGGCATGCAGAGAGAACCAAACTCAATCTCTGGCTTCTCCAGTTAATGATATCTCAAAGAACAGAGGTAGAAAAGTACTACTCATAACAAAAGATACAGCCAAGTCAGAATGGTCACTCTCCATTTCATTTTTTAAATGAAATGCTTTGTATGTTTAGAAGTCATTTAACAGCCCCTTTTCTCCCGCCTTTAATCTTCTACCGTGATACTCCATTTCTCAGAATCATGAGGCTTATTTTGGAAGACAAATTCAAAATGGTCTCAGTCCAGATACCTATACCTTAGCAAAAAGAGTCCAAGAAAAAGGAAGGTGCTGGGTGAGTCACAGATAAAAGGTGTGATGGTGCAGATGATGTGTTGTCTTTTATCAAAACAGAATGGGAAAGAGAGACCCAAAGGGAAAAGTCTAAACTAGGCTACAATGCAGGATTCTTGGCTCATGAGGAAAAGGAGCATCAAAGGAAAAAAAAATAACAAGAAAAGGGGACCGAGTGTAAAATGGAAAGAGCAGAAAGTAAAAGGCCTCTAAAAGGTTACATGAAGAGAATCAGTGGAATCTTGGGTTGCTGGAGTTTGCTACAAATTTAGTATTAAAACAAACAGTGTAGACAAAAGTGCAACAGCTGCCAAATGCACCGTTTTCCCCCACCTCTCACCAGCCTTAGGCTTTTGTATATTGCTTGATGCCCACACAGGCACTCCATGCACCCTCTTTTGAAGCTCCTCCACCTTCTGCTTGCACTGGTGCCTCCTCCTGCCTCTCAACTTCTTGCAGCTGCAACTCCTCATCATTCTGCAGTTCTTGTTCTGGGTCTTCCTCAGGATTCTGTGTTGCAACAGGCGGCACCTAAGGAAAGAACAACAGAAATAGGAATATCACCAGTAAGGGAGGGGTGATACCATTTCTTCTGTAAAGGCTCTGGAACAGAACTTCAGCTCTGGGTTTAGTTAACTGGGATAGCTCAAAGGCTGAGATGATAATTTTAAGACTAAGAAATAAACCAGAATAACAGAATTGGAAGAGATCTTGGAGATCTTCTAGTCCAACCCCCTGCTCAGGCAAGAAGCCCTACACCATTTCAGACAAATGGTTGTCCAATCTCTTCTTAAAAACTCCCAGTGCATTCACAACTTCTGGAGGGAAGTTGTTCCACTGATTAATTGTTCTAATTTAATTCTAGGTTGCTTCTCTCGTTTTAGCCTCCTGTCCCCTAATCATCTTCGTTGTTCTTCTCTGCACTCTTTCTAGAGTCTCAACATCTTTTTTACATTGTGGCAACCAAAACTGGATGCAGTATTCCAAGTGTGGCCTTACCAAGGCATTGTAAAGTGGTATCAACATTTCACATGATCTTGATTCTATCCCTCTGTTAATGCAGCCTAGGACTGCATGGCTTTTTTTGGCAGCTGCAGCACACTGCTGGCTCATATTTAAATCATTGTCCACTAAGATTACAAGATCCCTCTCACAATTACTACTATTGAGCCAGGTACCATCTATACTATACCTGTGTATTTGGTTTTTCTTGCCTAAATGTAGAACCTTACTTTTTTTCACCAATGAATTTCATTTTGTTCAAGATCCTTCTGTATCTTAAACCTATCTCCTGGAATGTTGGCTATTCCTGCCAGCTTCATGTCATCTGCAAATTTGATGAGTTCCCCATTTATCCCCCAGTTCATATCTAACATTTGCCATCAACTAGCTCTGGGTTGCATTTCAGCTCTTATAATGTCAGCCAGCCCAGCTAAAAGAAGAAGCAATGACGTAAGTTTATCTTACAGTATTATTTATAAAAATTACAGTTAGATCAGGGATAAGCAACCTTTTGGGAAAGCACACTTGGAATTTCAAAAGCATTTTGTGGCAAAATGGCTATCAGGGAAGATATTTCTGTTCATAAAATGGCTCCTATAATGGACACCAGCAATCATAAAACATCCGCCTAACAGAAGGCAAAGTATCATTTCCACAAGATGCCTCCTATAATCTTTTGCGAGATCCAAATGCATTCCTGAAAATATCTGTGCTTTGTTCTGCAATATTTCATCTTCCTTCTGTTTTATTTTTTTAATTAAAAAAATATTTTAAAAAGTGAGATGGAATAGGGAGCCTGGTGGGCACATTATCTCTCAAAAGCCTCCTGTTACCTTTGCTGAACTAGATCATGCACATGAAGCACTGTAAATACTTAAAACATATGTAACTAATATTTCGTCAATGAAGAACTTGGGATTAATCACCTCATTTCAGAAAATCCCTCACTCTGGAATCTGTTAACAGAAAACCAAGCAGGACAATACCATGTAGAATTAAACAAAATGCTTGCAGTTCTGCGGAACTACAAATTTATTTGAATTTTGGATTATCATATCTATGAAAGGAAATACGTATGAAAATGTAATTCTGCTCCATCTCTCCTTGTAAAAAGAGTGCAATATTGTCAAGACATCCTTCTCTGTCCTCAAGAAAAAGCAGCAGGCAAGGTATGGGTGACAGATGACTTTTTCATACTGGAGAAAGTTAGTGCTGGGAGTGAACTCTCCCAACGCTTTACATAGCCACTCCGTGTTGGAGCCCCACCCCCCCACCGCAAGCCAGCATCTGGCATGCAGAGCTCATAAGGGGCCAGTCGGGACATTGCTTTCTTTCCTTGTCACGCATCGGATGGCTCGCTGGAGCAGGTCCCAGGCAGGTTTCCAGCATCCGAATAGCCAGGAACCAGATAGCCCCTCCCCTTATTCCGCCGCCGCCCGCGGCACTGGGCCGCTTGTCCTTGCCTCGTGCCATGGCCTGCGAGGAGTCCCCTCTTCACAGCCACTGCGGGGATTCCCCTCGTCAATGCACCGAGGTGCTAGACAGTTGGCAGAGTCCCAGCAGCGGCTCCTGCCGGCGAAGAGGGTGGCCAAGAGGTTGCGGTGGCGCCAAACTCCTGCACCCATCAGCTGCCGGCCCCCTGGACCCAGACTCAGTTCAGCCGGCGGCAAGGCAGGCCGTGGTGAGTCCTGGCAGTCCCGGACGGTGAGTTGGTGGAAGGGGAGGCGACAGTTCAGTGTGAGGTTCCCCCACCCCTCCTTTGAGTGTCAGGTCCACGGGGCTCAACAGGCAGCTCCCTCTACCAGGACTCCACCTGAAAGGAAAGAAGACTTGCATGAGTGGTCATCCGTCCCAGCAGACAGATCAGCCGACTCTCCCGCCTGGCTTTCTAGGGCACTGGCGATGGAAGGCTCACACCAAGCGGGGGGCATAAACATCTGCCTCCCTCACCCACAATGCCTCTATAAGGGCATAATTCTCCCAGAAACCTGGATAGATGTAGTCGGATAGCCACCGGGTTAATGACCTGAACGACCCGAAAGGGACCTAGGAACTTCAGCACCAGTTTCCTATAAGGAACCCGTAGCCAGAGATACTTCATAGACAGGTAAACCAGGTCGCCCACCTGGAAGGGTTTCTGGGTTTCCATTTTTTATCGGCCTGCACCTTAGTGGCTTCCCTGGCTTTCACCAGGGCCTCCTTAACTGCCCTCCACACACATCCCACATGCACCATCCACTCCCTAGGTTGACAGGGCAAGGGATCTCCTTGGTTGTACTCAGGTATGGGGGTAAAGTCTCTGTCATGCACCACCCGGGAGTAAACCCGGTGCTACTATGCACTGCATTATTATACGCCACCTCTACGAACGCCACCAGGTCTACCCAGTCCATTTGCTGGTGAGACACATAGCTTTGCAGATAGCGCTCCACCATGGCGTTTGCCTGTTCTGCTGCCCCGTTGGTGCTCGGATAGTACGCCGAGCTGAAACACTGGGATGATCCGATGAATCAGATGAACTCGTGCCAGAAGCGAGCCACGAACTGCACCCCCCAGATCCAAAATGATTCGTCGGGGTACTCCGTGCAGGTGGTCAACATGTGTAATGAACAGCCTGGCCAACCTCCGAGCAGACAGCAATCCCTTACACAGAATGAAGTGCACCTGCTTGGAGAAAAGATCCACAACAGCCACGGCTCTCCAGCAACTCAACAATGAAATCCATCGCAATGTCCTCCCAGGGTCTGGTTTGGACCGCCACTTGTTGCAGTAATTCCAGGGGCTTCCCTGTACGGGGCTTTGCTGTGGCACAGATGTGGCACCCCCCCGGACGTAGGCCTCTGTGTCCGCTTTCATTCCGGGCCATGAGAATTGACGCCTTGCCAAATGTAGGGTCTTGAGAAACCTGAAGTGACCTGCCTGTTTCGTGTCGTGGCAACGTTGGAGCATCCCCTGCCTCAGTGCTTGCGGAATGTAGAGTTATCATCACACCAAGCCAGACCATCCCATTTCGTCAGCAGGTGTGGATTGTCCTGTAACCAGGGGTCATCCTGGAGTGCTGTCCTTAGCTCGTGCCCCAGGCCACCTGCCACCATATGGGGTACCGCCCTCGTTGAAGCCTGGCAGTAAGGGGGCATTATCGCCTGCACCACCTCCTCCCGCTTGCTATTATATTGAGGCAGTCTCGACAAGGCGTTACCCAGGAAATTCCACCCCTCCGGTACGTACTTTAACTGGAACTGGAACTGCCGGAAATAGTGTGCCCATCAGACGTGTTTAGGTCCTCCATGGTGGTAGTATAGATGAGAATATCATCCAGATACACAAGTACCCTGTGGTACAAGTGTTCATGCAACACTTCATTAATGAGTTGCATGAATACCACAGGAGCTCCCTGCAATCCAAAAGGCATGACCCGAAACTGGTAACTACCAAGCGGGCAGTTGAAGGTCGTCTTCCATTCGTCCTTTGGCTTGATGCGGACTCGATAGTATGCTTTGCGCAGGTCCAGCTTGGTGAATATCTTGCCCTGTGGCAGATGGGTCAGGAGGTTCTTCATCAATGGAAGGGGGTACATATGTTCAACACACACCCCATTGATGCTGCGGAAGTCCACACACAACCGGAGGGAACCATCCTTCTTCTCCTTGAACAGGACCGACGCTGTGATCTGGGAGCGGGCTGGCTGGATGAAACCCCTGGCCAGGTTTCGGTCGATGTAGCGATGCAACTTCTCTATCTCCCGGGGTGTCATCACATATATATGCAGCTTAGGCAGTTTTGCTCCCGGCACGATGTCAATAGCGCAGTCGATCGGTTGGTGGGGTGGCAGGATGTCTCACTCACGTTCGCCAAAGACCTCGACGAGGTCGGCATACATAGCCGGGAAGCTGTTGCCCTGCCCTGTGCCGACCTGGATCGCTTTTGCCCCTCTGCTGCCTCCCTCCGCCTTCTTGGGGTCCTGGGTTGGTGGCCAGGGACCAACTCCCAGGTATAGGTTTCGATAACCGCCCTGCCACCAAATCATTGGGCCCCACTTATCCAAACGTGCAAGCCCCAGGATCACTGACTCAGTCATGGAGGGGACCACAATGAACCAAAGGACTTCCCAATGGCCCCCATCTCCATCCTCACAGGTTCTGTTATGAGAGTGGCCAGAGCCCCCCCTAGAAGGGACTAGTCCACCTGCTCAAATTGGATCGGGTTAGCCAACCGTCTCACCTGGATTCCGACTTCGGTTACCACATCCTTACTGATGAGGCAGCAGGTACAACTGGAGTCAATAAGGGCCCTGTATTCCCCCCATGACCTGTTTGTGGGTTTATTAGGGTGATAGGGATGGCGAAGGGGCATACCGGCTCATTTACCATGGGATCCTCGGCTGAGTCGTCCGCACTGTCATAAGCCACCAGCTGGTACCTGGTGGAGGATGTTGCCTCTTCCCCCGTCAGAGGCGGCCGTTGAGGGGTATCTCCTTCTGATTGCTGCACTGCCTGCAACTGTTCTGTGGCCTTCTTGGGTGTAAAACTGGCTTTCCTGGCAGTTGATAGGTTACTTTGCAGCATGGGAACCAGACACTCTGCTGTCCAATGCCCTGGTTGGTTGCACCGAAAACACCGGAACGCCGGCCTAGAAGGCAGACTGGACGACCCTGGTACTGGAGCTTGGGTCCTACAGCCACTGTTTCTGGGTTTCTCTGCTACCCTCCGGGGCGTGAGTGAGTCCTCCCCCTTCCTCCGGAACTGCTGCAGTCCCGTGTCCAGTTCAGCTACCACCTGGAACCACTCTTGGAGCCGATTCGGAACACCCCTGAAGACACATGCCTGGCGTAAATCTCGGTCCAGGCCTGCTCGAAAGTGACGAACCAGGAGACGTTCCGGCCATGACCGTAGTCTCCCAGCCACCCGTTGGAAGTCCCGGATGTATTCCATGGCGGACTGGCCCCGCTGTTTCAACGCCAGTACCTCCGCCTCAGCCCACTAGACCCGGGAGATGTCCTCAAATCTGGACTGTAGAGCTTCCAGGAACAGGCCGGTGTCGGCCAGCTCCCTCGAGTGGTCACTATAGAGGTCCGCCACTCATGCCACTACCTTGTTCTGCAGACTAGCTGTCACCGCCACCACCATCGCCCATTGGGATGAATAGAACTGGGTGTAACGGTCCAGGTGGCTGATGACGTGGCTAAAGAACATTGCCAAGACATCCGGGTTCCCGTCAAAAGTCTCCAGTATTGGCAGCGGACCCCAAGCCAACCCTGGACCCCATGTCCCCAGAGGCAGCCCTGTTCCCCAGAGGCCTTCGTCCATAGTGGAAAACCGGTGGTCACCAGGGCCTGCCATCCGCCAGTCCGGAGCTTGCTGTTTACCTTGTGGGTACGCCATGATGATTTGCCAATGACCTTCCCTCCCATCTAGGGCGTGACTGAGCTGTTGGGATGCCCAGGACAGGGGCCCTCACCTGAGGCGTACCAATGCCAGGAGAAACCTGGAACCTCAGGCTGGCTAGATGAAATCGCGATGGTTCTGACAAAGCTGGCTGCATCTCAACTCGAGACCAAGGTGCTGTCCCATGGCCAGCCTTCACTCGTGGCCATGAGGGAAGGTCCACGTATCCCATCTCGCCGAACCGATCCCAGAGGATGTCCATCATCTGTCTTCCGGGTGCCATGGAATAACTCCACTCCTCCTCATCCTCCTCTGTGAATTGCCTCTCCCTCCATTCCATTAGAGGTCCCCCGGCACCCGGTGTGGTTATCCGGCCAGGGTCCGGGCGGGCAAGCACAGGGCTAAGCATCCATTCCCACAAAGGTGCCGGGACCCCTGCCTCCTGGGATTCACTCACCGTGGCTGCAGGCAGTAGGTGCCGCTCCTTGGGCCTCATCAATGGCTGGGCATCCCCTGGCTCTGCAATATGCATTGGTGCCGCAGCTCCGGCTGGCTCGCCCTCCTCTGCTGCCGGGACAGCTCCTTGCGTTCCCTCTGCCATTCCCTAACCAGCACAGGAATTGGAAAAGGTAAAAAAGAAAGTGGAGCGCTAACTTACTGTCAAGACGTCCTTCTCTGTCCTCAAGAAAAAGCAGCAGGCAAGGTACAGATGATAGATGATTTATTTCATACTGGAGAAAGTTAGCACTGGGAATTAACTGCTCCTAGCGCTTTACATAGCCTCTCCATGTTGGAGTCCCACCCCCCAATCTGCAAACCAGCTTCCGGCATGCAGAGCTCATAAGAGGCCAGTCGGGACATCGCTTCCTTTCCTTGCCACGCATCGGATGGCTTGCTGGAGCAGATCCCAGGCAGGCTTCCAGCGTCCGAATTGCCAGGAATCCCCTTGTTCCGCTGCCTCCCACGGCACTGCGCCACCCGTCCTTGCCTCACACCATGGCCTGTGGGGAATCCCCTCTTCACAACCACTGCAAGGATTCCCCTCATCAACATGCCGAGCTGCCGGACAGCTGGCAGCATCCTGGCGCAGTCTCCGATGTCAGCAGATGTGCTCCCAGCCGCCGTTGGTCCCAGCAGTCCTGGCAGTGGCTCCCGCCAGCGAAGAGGGTGTCTGGGAGGCTGAGGTGGCACCGAACACCTGCGCCCATTAACTGGTGGCCCCCCAGACCCGGACCCAGTCCAGGCATCAGCAAGGCAGGCTGTGGTGAGTCCTGACAGTGGTCCCGGCTGGCGAGATGGTGGAAGGGGAGGCGGCAGTCCAGCATGAGGTTCCCCCACCCCTCCTTTGAGTGTTGGGCTCGCTGTCTCAGAAATATTTTTAAAAGGGAGAAAACATGGATCATTGGCTTAAAAATAAACATTTCTGAAACTAAATTGGACATGATAGGGAACAGCAAAGAGCAAGTCTTAACAAGTTTGCCATTTGATAGCTGAAAAGATAGTTGAGAAAGTAAGTCATTTAAATTTCAGGATTTTAAGGATTCCCTAACCTTGACTTTCCGGATGGACTCAGAATAGAGGCCACAGGGTGAGCTGCACAGTTCCTTCGAGACAACACACAGGAATTCCGATTGATCCTCATTCCCATAGTTATAGGATGATCCAATATTCACCAACTATAGAAAGAGATGAATGAATGCCTGTTATGCCAAATGATGCAAAAATGGGAACACTTCTAGTCTGAAAAGGAACACAAGGTCTGAAGAGGGCAAATGTTAGGATTAGTGCAGAAGACTTAATGTTAGTGCATCTGTTAGTGGTCTTTATATGACAAGATACAAAAGAAATTTACCGTGTTTTTCAATAGAGCCAGAAAGTTTCAATCTGCCAAAAGATTTTTATCATGCCATAGAAAGAGCTAAGGAATATTTCCCCTCGATCTCCAGTTAAGTTTGGAATGTTCTAGGATCTGAAAAAATTATAAATCTTAAACTTATATAGTCTAAGAATTGGGAGTATTGTCAATTCACAATTTATGCCTACAATCTTATCTATATTCATTAAAAAGCACTGAAAATAGTGGGACATACTGATAATCAGGCACAAGATTGTACAAATGTCTTGCACAACACGTGTCTTATTAAAAAGTAAGCACCATAAAGTTTAGCGAAACTTATTCCCAGGTATGCAGTCAGAAGCGGGAAAAAATGACTAATAAAGTTTATTAGGTCAATATGTTTCTTCCTTCTTTGAATCTGGTTCGTGAATTACTTATAAGAGCCAGAGAGATGCACATGTGAAGCATATTCTGTTTAAAAAATGATTGTATATTCTATTTAAAAAAACCTGAAGATTCTGAAATCACTATCAAATTCAACACTGGGAAACCTATACTCATTTTTTAATAAATTTAATAAATAAATGAAATTATCTTGCATACCTGTTCAAAGCGCCACCCATCTGACATTGTAGAAACCATCTGTGTGAGCTCTTCCTCCTGACACTGCAGCACTCTGTAGACATGCTTTGGTGGCACCTAGAAGAAGCAGGTCAAGGAACAACAGATCATATCAGCAAGGGCTTTCCTGTCTACCTGTCCAGATTTTCTACTAATAAACAAAGCCAGACAGTGGCTTCTCATCCTCAATTCTGCCTCTGAGTGGAGAGAAGTCTATGCCAGTGGTGGTGAACCTATGGCAGAGGTGCCAGAGGTGGCATTCAGAGCCCTCTCTGTGGGCACGCGCGCCGTCACCCCAGTCCTTATGCCTTCAGCTGGGTTTTATAAAACCTCCAGCACTGTGTACAAAAAAAAAGGTTCAATCAATCAGTCAATTTCAACTTCTCGCAGGGGAAAAAAAGATCTTGTAGAGTTGGAATTGATTGATTGAACTTTTTAGTCCCACCCAGTCTGCTGTTACCACCACAGCCACACCCACCCTATGGGCCACACCCACCTGGCACCCAACGATGCATAAGTGGGTTTTGGGTTGCTGTTTGGGCACTCAGTCTCTAAAAGATTTGCCATCACTGGTCTATGCTATAGAAAAGACAGAAGCAACTGCTAGTTGTTGGAACATCTGTATAAGTGCATTAGACTGAAAAGTTTTAGATGAGCAAGGAGAAGAGCTTTGGCCGTTTAACTCAACAAGTGAACATCTTCTGGCAGGGCTGGGCTAAGGGCTAAGAATCTAGAGTTTTCTGACAACCGAAATAAGTAATACTGGTGTAGGAATAATGTCAAAAGGAGTAAGCAGTTCTGAGCTTGGAAGGAAGAGAGGGACATGAAATTTCATGCCTGAAAATTTTATGCCTTGAAATGAAACGTTTTGCACTATTCTCACGTGGAGACTCAGAGCAAGGCCACACATGAGATATATGAGAATAAAAAGAGCAATCTGTCTCAAAGGTTTAGACATTATCTTCAGTTAAGAGAAATCCAGAAGTACAGATTTCCTCATTTCAGCAACCTCCAGATGGGTTGGGATTTCAATTCCCAGAATTCCCAGCCCATATTGCTTTGATCATTTGAGGCTGAAACTGATATTGTGCCAACACATCTGGAAGGCACCTGGTTGGGAAAAGCTGCAGTATAGTATGAGAATTGCCATCAGTCAGAATAGGAGATATATGGACAAGTAGCTTAATATGTGAAATCCTAGGAAGTTTTCCAGCTTCTCATTTCTCTCATAACAATAATCAAAGACCAAGTGCTGAGAGTACTGCCTTTTCCCTGTTCCCATATATGATCTTTCTCCCAAAAAATACAGACTGAGTTTTCAGGAATCATTCTTTCATTCTTTCCAATTGCATAATTAACACCTTATTAACAGTGAATAATAAATACCCCAAAATTAGCTGAATTAAAACAGTCCCTGCTTTAACAATTGAATGCTGGCTTGTTTATTCTCAGTCTTGTAACATTTGTTCAATTTTTTTGAAAAATGAAACTTAATATTCTGAGCACTTTTGTTTTCAATTTCTCTTAAATATAATTCTGACATTTCCCAACACACCTGGGTTATGACGTAATCCTTTTCCTCCAGTCTGTCTTTTATTAGTCTGATTAGAGACCCAATGTTGTAGAATTCTGCTTCTTCCAGAACTCCTAATAATAATAGCAGAGAGCATTTAAAATAAAACACTAAACAATCTCACTAACAACTAATATTAATTAAAAATATAAGCATTTGGTTATTACACCGAAAAGATTTCATATCAGAATTACACGCTGCAAGAGTGTGATGTCTTTTATAGAGATCAAATTTTGAAAGGCAATCAAAATCTATGGGGAGAAGGCAAGGCTACAGTGAAAAATCACATAGGGGAATAATTCTAATTTAGCATACTGTGACACATATAATATTGTATGTATGTATTGTATGTAATAATGTATGTTATAATTCAATGATTATGTCAGTCCAACTCACCTCACAGTGTTGTTGTGAGGAAAATAGGAGGAAGAAAGTGTTGGATATGTTCACTACCTTGAGTTATTTGTAAAAATAATAAAGGTGGAATACAAATAAATAAATAAATACATTCAAATACACACAATCCAGATTTTTTAAGGAAGAAACTATATAACATCAGAAACAGAACTTTATCCACCAACATTATATGGTAAACATGCATCTCTTTTTCACAATCTTGCCTGCTGCAAAATGAGGAGGTAATTTTGATTTAAGAGAATCAGATCATCATAGAAACATGCAACTGAAATAGATGGGGCGTTGACTTACCTGAACGCCTTTTCTCAGCACGGAGATGGATAATCCACGCAGTGGGTTGAAACTGTATTCCTGGCCAATCAGATCAGTCAGCCAAAGTTGCCACGCCCGTCCTGGACCATGATTCTCCAGTCTTGACACGAGCGCAGCCATTGACTGACAGTAAGACGTTTTGGCTCCACTAAATATACCCTATTATCCTAGTCTATAAGGGTGGGTGTGGATTATCCATCTCTGTGCTGAGAAAAGGCATTCAGGTAAGTCAACGCCCCTTCTCCAGCACTGGAGATGGATAATCCACGCAGTGGGACATACCAAAGCCTATTGTCCCTTGGGTTGGGGAATAGACTGGTCCCATGTGTAACTTTGGTCTAGAACCTGCTGGAGAACCCTCCTACAGAAGGAGGCCTCTGCAGAGGACTACTTGTCGATTTTGTAATGGCGAATGAATGGAGAGGGCGAGGCCCAAGTGGCTGCCCTGCATACCTCTTCAATAGAAGCCTGCATGGCCCATGCTGCTGAGGTGGCAGCACTCCTTGTGGAGTGGGCCGTGATATGCTTGGGGACTTGCAAGGACTCCGCCTGGTATGCCCCAGTGATGTATGCCCTAATCCACCTACCGATGGTAGAGGACGAGACCTTCCGGCCCTTAGTAGCGGGGTGGAAGGATATGAAAAGCGCTTCCGAGCGTCGGAATTCCGCTGTGCGCGAAATGTAATGGCTTAGTGCCCTTCGTACGTCCAAGGTGTGCCATTGTTGCTCCAGGGGATGAGCTGGGTTTGGACAGAAGTCTGGTAGGACTATTTCCTGTGATCTGTGAAAAAAGGAGTTGACCTTTGGAATGAATGAAGGGTCTATTCTTAGGACTACCTTGTCCCTGTGAAAATGACACAGGTCCTTCCTCGTTGAGAGAGAAGCTAACTCGGATATCCGTCGAGCTGACGTGATAGCTACTAAGAATGCTACCTTATGGGTCAGGTAGCGAATGTCACATGTTTTGAGTGGTTCGAAGGGCGCTCTGGTAAGAGCTTGTAGTACTCGTGGTAGTTCCCACGATGGATACCTGTGCACGGTTGGCGGTCTGATGTTCGCAGCCCCCTTGAGGAAGGATCGTATTAAGGGATGCTTGCCCAAGGATTCACCGGGGCTGGCAGAAAGTATAGTTGAGAGGGCGGCGATTTGCCTGCGCAGCGTGTTTGGCGAGAGGTCCCTCTCTAGGCCATCTAGTAAAAATTCTAGGATCTTGGGAATTGTGATCCCTTCGAGTAACAATTCCTGTTTAGAGCACCATGATTGGAAGCTTCTCCACGTGGCCTCGTAGATACGGTTCGTGGAGGGGCGCCTTGATGCCTGTATGACCCTAATTACACCCTGTGAGCAAGCCCCCTTGGCTAAAATTGACCGTTCAAGAGCCAGACGGCTAGTTGTAGCCATTGTGGCTCTGGGTGGGAGATCTCCCCCTGCTTGAGGGAGATCCTCTCCGGAGGAATCCGCCATGGATTCGTGCGGGAGAGACTCCTCAAGTCTGCGAACCAAGGTCTCCTTGGCCAATAAGGGGCCACAAGGATTACCTCAGCCCTTTCCCGCAGAATCTTGCGTACTACTGCTGGAAGGAGAGGTAAGGGTGGAAACGCGTACAGGAGTCCCCTTGGCCATGGGCTCCGTAACGCGTCCGTCTGCTCTGCTCCCCTGGATGGGAATCGGGAGAAGAAGCGAGTTAGGTGGGCATTGGAAGGAGAGGCAAAAAGGTCCACCTGGGGAAGCCCGAAGCGGTGACAGACCTCCCTGAAGATCCTCGGGTGTAGTTGCCACTCCGAGTGATCTATTGTTGATCTGCTCAACAGATCTGCTTGGATGTTTGCCTCCCCCGATATGTGGTCGGCCTTTATGGAGGCCAGATTTTGTTCCGCCCAGGCCCCCAGTAGGAGGGCCTCGGCCGAGAGCGAGCGAGAGTGTGTGCCCCCGACGGTTTATGTGGGCCTTGGCTGTCACGTTGTCTGTCAGGACCAGTATGTGCCTGCCTTTTATGCTGCTGTGAAAATGCCTTAACGCTAGGTGAATAGCCCGCAGCTCAAGCCAGTTTATGTTGTGTCGGAGATCCACCGCTGACCAGCGGCCCTGTGTCCACTTGGTCCCCAAGTGGCCTCCCCAGCCGAATAAGCTCGCATCTGTTGTGACTACTACTCTGTCTGGTTCCCTGAAGGGGGACCCCCTGAGGAGAGCTGGAGATAGCCACCACCTGAGGGAGTGTCGTACTCTCAGAGGTATGCCTACCCTCTTCCGGGATGCACTGATTTTCTGTCTCTGAAACGGGAGCATGAACCACTGCAGTTCTCTTGAGTGCAGCCTTGCCCAAGGAACTATTGCTATGGTCGATATCATCTTCCCTAGCAGCTGGGACAGGCAGACCAGCGTCCCTGACTGACCGCGGCTTACCTGTTTTACGGCTTTCTTTATGCTGCTGAGGCATTCCTGTGATAGGTACACCTTGCACCTATTTTCAATTCTGGCCCTTTTCTGGGCTCTGTCGAACTCTTTTTCTAGGGCTTGGTGTCTTCTGATTGCCTGCTTGTCAGCCTTCTTTGATGACTTCCTTGCAGCCTTTCTAGGGGCTGCAGAGGATTCCGAATCCTCTGAAGCGGGTGCTCCAGAGGATGAAGGCAGGGCTCCACTGGAGGGAATGATTGCTTCCTCCATTCTCCACTAACGCCGGGCCGCGATAGGGGGGACCCAGGTAGTAGGAGAGCTCCAACTTTGAGTAAGGACAGGCGCACTACTGGGGGCGTCTGGAACTCAGGAGCAGACTCTGCAAAATTGTCAGGGTTAGTCACTGTGCACGGATAAGAACAGGCACGCTAATGGGAATGCCTGGAACCCGGCTTGACTATGGCGGGTAAGGACAGGCACGTGACTGGGGATGCCTGGAACCCACCACTAAATCCAGAAGCGTACGGGCCACTAATGGGGGACCCGAAGTCCAGAAGGAGCCAAAGGCAACTAAACACAGTTAGTTATGAAAGGTTCTTATTTACTTTAGATTGAAGACACCAAGTCCTGGAACCAGCAGCTATGTGTCTGATTTGAATGTCTCTGAATGAATAATAGATGCTTTAGTACCCTAGTACTGCTTGCCTATTAATTCACTCCAGCGGCTGAACCTAGGCTTCTCAGGGAGCCTTAGATCCCGTTTGGACAAAAATATGGCCGCCGCTGCCAGGAGACTACTGCGCATGTGTTAAAAGGAGCAGGAGATTATTGCGCCTGTGCTAAAAAGGCTGCCTGTGCCACGTGCGGTTGTAACAAAGAGCCGCGCGTGCTCCCAGCTGTGCAGACAATGGCTCCTCGTTTAAAAATCCTGAGCAGCCTGGTGAGTGAAAGAGACTGCTCCTTCGCACACCAGCTGTTTCCCTTAATCAATCTCCCTCCCAGCATGCGTCCCCTTTGTCCTCCGCTCCCCTCGCTAATTGCTTGCCTTTCTGTCTTTCTTTCTTTCTTTTTAACGCGAGGGGTTGCACGAGCCTCCCCGTTTGTTTAAGGCGGCTGCCAGCTGCTCCGGCTGTGGGAAGGTGGTTGGGGTTTGGGTTAGGGAGGGGAGTTAGGGATTTCCCCCTTTTAAGTGAGGGTGGTTTCCCCTGTAGGGAATCTGACTTCCTGAGTCTTACAATTTAGCCAGGAAATTTTTGAGTAATCAATTAAATTGAATTAAATTATCTCTAATTAACTTTTAAACTAAGCAATTTCAGCTACTAGAAGAAAATCCCCCCAATGGAAAGGAACTATACCTGCCCAGGAGCCAAAGTTGTACGTCTTTCTGTGTGGCCAGATCAGTCAAGACTGGAGAATCATGGTCCAGGACGGGCGTGGCAACTTTGGCTGACTGATCTGATTGGCCAGGAATACAGTCTCAACCCACTGCGTGGATTATCCATCTCCAGTGCTGGAGAACTCAATAGATCACCCAAATCTATCAATACAAATTAGTAATGTAATATGAGGAATGAACAGCTTTATTCGTACTTCCCATTTTAATTCTTCCACATCCATCTGTACATTTGTTAAAATCTCTTTCCATTCCATTCCAAGCAGCTTCCGTATCAAATTTCTTTATGTACACTTCTCATTCTTTATGTTACAACACTAATCTATTTTCCAATACTTTTCATACAGAATCATATTTGATCCTTATGCTCCTTCCAGCTCTATAGTTCTATGATTCTTCTTCCTAGGTGCCACTTCCTCTATTTCTATTCTGATTTCCTTCACATTTTCCCTTCTTTCTGTGCCTCTATTTTTCCCCCAAAAGCAATCAGAAACTGTCAAGAATATTGCATGTCACATTTAGGATCTCTCATCATGATGATATTGTTCACTAACTCTT